GTAGAGGAAATGGTGAGATGTAGGTCAAAGAATGCAAAGTAGCAGACATGTAGGATGAACAAGTCTAGAGATCTCATAATGTAACATGAGGACTATAGTTAATAATATTGTATTGGATTGGGATTTTTGCTAAAAGAGTAGATTTTAGGTGCTGTTGCCACAACAAACAAAAGGTGGGGGGGTAACTATGAGATGATGGATATGTTAATTTGTTTGACTATAGTACTAATTTCATTATCTGTAGGTATATTAAAACATGTTGTACACCTTAAATATATACAATAACATTATAAATAAAAAGTAAGAGGAAGGCCTGTGTAATCTTTTATTAAGGGATTTTCTCCAGATACACCATGAATGAATTTGAGTTCCAACTTTAGAGTCTGCCACTTTATTCAGACCTAACTTGTGAATGACCATGTTAATCTCTTCATTTTTTTTCATGATTCGTCTTACTTATTGGAAGATGAAGAGCTGCTGAGAACTGTAAATTTCTTCTTACTGTCAGAATGCCTACCACAGCATCATCCTATACTGTAGAACTTGAATTACACTTGAAATTGGCTGAGGCCAAGTTTCTTGATCCCATTAATATTCATTAGTATGTCTTTTTCAACTGTTTGTCAACCAAGCAGAAAGCCACTCTTCACTTTTACTTGATAGCAGATGTTATGGAAACTTAACACAACTTCTTCAGTAAGTGTCTTCAGGTCCTTGGAGGTTATCCTGGATAGGTCACTGCTGTTTTTTTGTGACATTGGAATAAAAAGTGGACATTACTGGAAGACATCTAGAGAATTTCTGCCTCTTTCTTTACTGGTTTATCATAAAGGATATTATTCAGAAGAGATACATGGGGGAGGTCTGGAAGGGTCCTGAGTGCAGGAGCTTCTGTCCCTGTGGAGTTGGGGTGCATCACCCTCTGGCATGTGGATGTCTTGCACCAATGCGGAAGCTCCTCTAGGCTATGTTGTTAAGTGATAAAAACAAATTACAGAAGAATGTGTATTTTTTAATCTAAGAAAGGGGTTAGCATAGGAATATATGCATATACAGTTTACCCTGGGTCCACTTACAGACAGATTTTTTTCAATAAATACATTGGCCCTCTGTATCCAGAGGCTCATATCCACATCCAAATGCAGATTTAAAATACATAGTTTCCATGTGAGTCCAGTATATGGAAGGCCATCTTCTTGTATCTGCAGATTCCTCTGGACCAATATTGGGACTTGAGTATGGGCAGATTTTGGTATCCAAGGGCAGTCCTGGAACCAGTCCTCTGTGGATACTGATGGACAACTGTATTTTTGCTTATGTTTTCATAAAGAAATAATGGAAGATTAAGAGCTAAGGAGACACGTTAGATGTCTCTGAATGTTCCCTTTACAAAAAAGGTTTTGACTTTGGAAACATGAAAGTGATTTATATCATTATAAATAAAGAATGAATAAATCCACAGGAATCTTTAACAGTCAAAACCGAAAGGAAACAAATGAACTTTGTGGCATAGCCAGAAGTTGGTGGCATGACCAGATGCATAGTTATTATTCAAGTGACTTTAAAACAGTAAAATTTGACAGTACATGACAACTGGGATATATATGTATCCCAGATATATATATCTCATAAGGACAAAAAGAACTGCAAGTAAATCTTAACCTCTATATCATTAACCATATTCTTAGTAATAATATTATTATTCTTTTTAAACTATTATATTTACATTGTAGAAAAAAGCAAATATGTATATATGTGAATATTATTAGGATCCCAGGATTTTCTACAAAAATACTAAGAAATACAAATATAGAATTAAAGTTAAGTAGAAATCATGTAATCTGAATTGAAAGTATTTGGATGAATTTATTTTACATATGTACATATGTATGATATTCATATATGATGTTCATGATATATGTGTTTATGTATGTGTGTGTAGGTATAATATTTTACCTTGATTGTGGTCTCTAAATACCATTTGTCATGAAAAAGAACCAGGACTCCTTAGAGAAATGGCTGATTCCAAGTCTGGGACAGGGCATTTATAAGATGAGCTTGGAACTTGTGCAATAAACAAAACTGTTGGAGTCATCTTAAAAGGACACAGGAGCCATCTTTAAGGAGCTCCCATAG